CTCAATTTCACTTTTTCCAGTGTAGAAACTGTCAGTTGGGGGAAGATTTCCATGTATTTATTGCTGAGCAGAATAGGGGAAGAGGTATCACAAACGTAAAGTCCAAGTGTCCTACCATCTGCCTGGAGTTTTTATACTTCTCTGTGGCCCTGGAATATCTCTCATTCTCATATTTGAGTTCTAGGTTATTGCTGGTGAAAATATCAGCATTGTGTTTTGGTTTTTGGTTTTCTATCGGGGGAAGTGAAGTCAGCTTGCTTCTACACTGCCATTTTAAATCACTTAGTATGTGATCTCTACCTTAATTAAAGTGATTTCCATCTTTTTCTCATTATATGCGAATACATCTGGTCTCTTATTACTTATTCTAACTCTAGTTTTTATTCTAGGGCCCACCTGTACCTATGCTTGCTCAGTTATTAATTAATTAATTATTAACTTGTTCATTCCTTCATTTATTTTTATACTTCTTATATGAAGGCCTACTGATCTTTTTATTTCTTGTAAGCCCAAACATTCATTTTAATTATGTGTACGTATCAGGCAACTTCATCATGTCTTTTAGAATAGTTGTTTTGAACATATAGATAAGGAATCCATATTATTTTATTATAGATTAATTTTCTTTTGCCTTGATTTTATATTAGAGTTAGGAAACTATGTCAACTTTTAAAAAAATCAATATGTGGGTTATTTTATCCATGAATTTCTAGTTAAGATATTAAAGAGGGCATTATATGATATTTTATAAAAATGGAATGTTGTCCGATAGAGCTGCGAACACTGCATTAGATATCTCTAAGTTTCTTCCATCTCTAAAATCCTTAGACTACTTGGTTTCTCTAACCTTACTAAGAATAATGAACACCCCTGTTTCCCAACACAGTATACATTCCACTCACAGAAACTTATACTAAGTTGAACATACTCTTTTGATAGCATAAATATCTATTTTCTACTCCCAAAAGATAATTCGCCGTTTTTCTGTTATTATTTCATTGAGTTGAGGAGCTCTTGCTGAATTAACGATGCAAACATTATCTTTGCTGGCATGATCGTTTTACACCCATACCTGTGCACTCTTCTTACCTAGCTTGACAAGGCGGAGCATGGAGGTATTACTTCCTCTTTCAGTACAAGCAGTTACTGAGAGATTGTAGATGTCTCCTGGAGGCAAGCTGAGAATCGCAGTCATGACATTGCGTGTTACCTGCAAGGTCATCAAAATCAAGGGTTTAAACTTCTAGTGCATGAGCCAATCAGCACACCACCCCAAACAACTACCGTGCTCTAGCAGACAGTCCTTCTCTGTTCTATGCTGCAATGTACAATTTATTATATTACAGATACTTTATAGCCTCAGAAAATTATACAAATTCCTCAAATGGGCCAAATGCAAGGTCACCTTAAAAGTGTATTAATATAATATGTATCAGACAGAACAATTTTGCAGTTAGTTCTCTCATTTGGAGTGGGTGTTACTCTGATATTTTCCCACATATTCAAAGCAGATTTTAGAAAAGGCAATCGCTGGGGTGCCACCGGTGTGTACATTGGGAGAAGCTCAGAAGTCACCTAGCCATGTCTATAGACATGTGCCTTCCTACCTAAACACTATATTTCCCATCCTCCCCTACAGCTAGAGAGGACCATGCAACTCAGTTCCGACCAGTGGATTGTAAATGGAAGTCACACGGGCAATTTATAGTTCAGTTCACATCCTGTAAGTGCTGAGCCTTTATGTGCTCGTCCCCTTCCTGCAGGCTGAAACATGGATGTGACGATGATGAAGATTCCTCTGTGCAGATGAGGACAATCATAGTGGCAGAAGGAGCAACAAAGCAGAAAGAGTCTGGATCTCTGGATGATCCCTTACAGCAAAAGTGCTCTGTTAGTTCTGTGCCATCATGAGAGAGACATAAACTCTATTTTCTTTGAGCTACTCTCTTTTTGTTTGTTTATTTATTTATTACAGCAGTTTAGTCTGTACCCTAATAGATGCAATGTCAAAAGCTTAATAAACCAGGAGAAAAGAAATCAGTACTTCCAACATACCTAAATCTTTAGGTGTTGGTGATACACAGAAAAAATTTTGAAACATATTAACTGTGGTTTTCTTGAAATTCTTTGGCATCCTGAAGTAAAAGCTCAAATCATAACTTTATATGTAAGTGAAATCGATAGGCACAAGTATTACAGCACACCGTTAAAGATTAGGAGGTAAGCTTTACGAAAACAAGAATTTAATCCTTTGTTCACGGTCTTATCTCCAGACCCTAAAACAATGCCAACTGGCATACAAGCATGTGTCCAATGTTTCAATAAACATTTGCTTAATGATTTTCAATAGTTCATGCAACTAAATATGCAGATTTTCCCAATACTGGGATTCAAAGAAACATACACTCTTTTTAATTTTCTTCTTTCCTTCTGCAACAACCATCCAGTGTAGCATTCTAGAATGGGACAGGTCAGTTGTGTCGTCCCCATATGTCCAACTGATATATAGCAGACTGTTGAAATATTCCACAGAAGTGATTTCTGGAGCCACTGGGGCTACAAGGGAGGAAAGAGGCACAATTTAGTATAATGGACTAATAAGTAAAGTACTTAATAATAGAGCACGAAATCCCATTTGTGTTAACTCGGAGAATTAGAAGTCACACCACATAGCTGTCCTAGGGACTCCCGGACCTCTCAGTAACAGAGTGAAGATTGGTGATACAGGGTGGAACCCACCTTGTATACCTCAGAAACAAGACAACCAGACCCATCTGTGCCTGAGGATATCTAGATCTTTTACACAAATTTCAGTTACAATTCCTAAAATGTTCACTTATTTGGGTATATTTATGACATCAATAAATTAATATTAATAGGCATTGGTGAAGTTATTATCCAAGTAGTATTGGAAAACCCGGGGTCCTGTAAAAGTAATTCTCCTTCATTTATTTGCAGTGAAGATGTTTATGGAAATAAAAAATAGTAGGATAAAAGGGTAGAAGGCTAGAAGATAATAAATAGCATTATAGGTAGAAGACAAGTTTTATTTCCATAAAATAACAAGGCGATATTATTGACAGTGTCTAGCCCAGTGCTTTGCAGCAAGTAGGCTCTTAATAAATATTGCTGAAGCAATTAGTAATGGAGGGAAGGAAGGGATTTTTTAAAAATTATGTCATAAAGCTATTAATAAATTCCGATACTGAGCTTGTTACTTTATAATCTTACACATTTAAATATCTAAAATTTTGCTAACTGGGGAGGAGAGTTCATCAAAGGCTTTATAAGACGTGAGCTCTGAAAGCATACTTTAATTATTTTTTAAAGTAACTGATAATTCTGAAAGATTTTAAAAAACAAATACAAAGTTGAATTTAAAATCCATGTGTATGTCGGTTTGAAAACAGTAAAAAATGTTCCATTCTGAGATACAGCACAATATCAACTAAAACATTAATATTTGGAAAGTTTCTATAGACCATAAAGAATTATTTTCTTTAATAATTATGTTATGATGTTATGATGCTAATACTCATAACAAACATTCATAACTAGCTATGCTTTCAAAAGCAATTGTTCACTGAAGAATTTTTGATACATAAAGTAAAAACCACATTTATGTTTCATGTGAAATAGGAGTAGCATTTCTAGTATGTTTAATAATAAAATCTTGAAATATCAACATGCATCTAATAAGTAACACAAATCTATATTATATTTCAGAATATTCTACTTAAGGAAAAACCTCGGCTTTCTTATAACCCTTTAATATATTCCAATGTACTTCATCATATGCAAATACTTATATTTCTTCAAAGGATATTTTCTCATGTTATAATTTTAGTGAGGACAAGAAACATTCTTAAAATTGCAAACCCAGAAGTTTGTATTTTCCCCTTACAGGTGCTAGGTCTTCAGATTTTCATACTCCATGTTGTTGCTTTAAAATCTAGCATATTGCTGCAAGACCACAAGATGTCACTATTTATTTACTAACAATTATTTGGTATCCTAGCATAATTACTATGAACTTGCAGACTAAGTTGCCTAACAAAGATAATAGATTTGAGTTCCTTATGAATCACACTTAATTAAAATATTTTGTTCCTATTTCCTTTTATACCACACAATTTGGCAATTTAAATTAAAATTTAAAGCATAGGAAAGTAAAGCATGAGATCTTTATTTGCTTTAAATAATATCTTTATTTGAAAAAAGGAAACAAAGGCAAAAACTGAAAAAACCCTACTAGAATTTCAACTGGTTTTAAAAAGTAAGTATGAAAATTACAATCATCATACATATTTTAATAATGATTTATACTGTATAATTTAATTCTCACATTATCCTGTGAGATATTTATTATTATTATTCCCATTTTATAGATCTGAGAATTGAGATCATCTTTGTTGATATGCTCAGATAAGACTGTGAATGCCTGTTTCAGCATCATTTAGTTGTCTGTCCTAGGAAAAGATAAATTTCCAAAGATCTGTTTATTGGAGATAACAGACTGCTCCAGGCAAACAGCTTGCTGATTAACCAGTTTATTTATCCAGACTTCTATGTCCACCTCAACTGTTATAAACTTTGCCCAACCCCAGTCAGTTTCCCATCTTGAAAAGCACAACTTAAACTCCTCGAGTCAGAACACCAAATCCTATCAGAATTTCATTTCTGATGTTCACCTTATGAGACACTGCAAAGACTTGGTCAAAGTGGTGTTCTAATATATTAAATTTTGCTCTATTAAACACCTGTCAGGTAACAGTGTGGAGGGCTCTACCAGTGAGAAAATAGAAGCCTCAGAACCATTAGGATAATCTGCTCAATGTGCTACGGCAAGAAATCAGCATATCTAGGTTGAGATGCTAAGTCTTGGCTTTTTCCAGACAGCTGTTCTGTCTGAGAAGGAAAGATTGTTCTCAGAAACTTAATACGAATAAAGTTAAACTGTAAGAATTATTGATACAGTTAAGTTTAATTATAATTAAATATGTGATTATTAATATAGTCAAGAGCCTAACAGTGCATGTCAAATAACTGATATTTTCTCCTTTTTTGGTATTCTTTCACTTTTCTACTCTAATATTACTATTAACGTCTGGAACCATTAGCAAAGAAAAGTGACACACTGTGTAAGTTAATTGTGTATGAATTCACATATAATTGATTTCTTTCCATTTTTCTTTCACTGATAAGTTTCAATAGAGTAAAAGTAGATGTCCACCGAGGAAACTATTTTGCCAAAATTATTGTTGATCTAAGCAATATTTTCCTCCTCTGTTTTCTCAGTACAACTCTAACACTATAGCTTTGTAGTCCAATGAAAAGTTCTTGAAAAAAAATCATAGTTAAAGCAACAAGAGTTAGTGTTTCTTTGATGGATTTCTCCTTTACATTGCTGTCTCTGACTAGTGATGATGTAACTACATAATTTAAGGTTCTTGAAGATCTAAGACTAACAGTTTTTTTTTTTTTTTTTTT